ATCCAAGTGATGAATGATGATTTTAGATATATGAAATTCATATACCAGTATTTGCACTGCGGTGAAGTTATGAAGTCCTTACCTTTTGGGCATTTAGGAAAAAACTGATGAACAGAGAGCTAGTAGCAACCCCAGGATCTTGACAGACTGACTGTAAATATCTCTCCAGGTGAACTCGTCTTTCTTCTACTTGTGCTAGTGTCAAAGACAGAAGCTTTCTTGGAGGGAACTTTGCTACAATTCTTGGCCCAAACTCTTTGCGTAACTTAAAAAAAACAACAACATGAAAACACAGTCTTACACACAGAAGTCTTGTGAACTTGATGCAAATGTATGTCAAACAGCTAATAATCGACACCAACATATCAGATATTCTCTCTTATAAAGAGAGGAATCATCAATAAATTAGGATGTACTAACACTTTGAGATAGTATTGGGAGTCAAGTGAAACATTGAGCCACTGCCTAAAACAAAAGGCTGGTTTTAAACAAAAAATCTTAGATGGTTGAAGATTTTACTGTTTCCTGACCATCCCAAAGTTTTCTGACTAATGAAAACTCAAAATCGAAGACATTCTCTACTGTCTGGAATGGTCTGCAACAAAATCCTGAAAATTGGGGCAGATCCCAAGCACAATCTTTAAAAATTATTAAACACTCCTATTTCTAATATCAAGGATGTTCTGTGATGGTTTTAGCTTTCTACTAATCCTTTAATTGCTTGGCTCCAGTAACCCCCAGTCACAAATAAAATGGCATCTGTAATCCACCTTGACAAACATTCAATGATCTCCAGATATATTAGCAAAATCTGGGACAGATTGCAAATCATCTTGGATTTTTTCACCATATGAAAACCAGACTTAAATGTTAAAACCCTACATTTTCATCAATCAACAGCATCAACTGACAATTGACGAGCTTCAAATTTTATATTTTTTCTTTCACATACATGTAAGGTCACAAAATATTTCTGTAAGACGAACAGCTACTGAAAGATAAAATGCTAAAAGCTCTAAAAACTTACTTGTTCATTGAATTGGTAAAGATCTGAAAATCTAATACCACAGTGAAATGAGCCATTGATGTGTACATTGTAAGCCTGCAATTGGAGTTTTAGCATGAGTCAGTTATTTCATAGCATACAACTAGTTAGTTGTTAACTCTTGTGGATACAGTAAATTATGGTTAACATATCTTAGCATTGTTAGGGTGATCAGTGAGTGAATTCTCCCCAAAGCTTTAATACACTATTTACACATATAGGAGAGAAATTAAAAAAATTATCAAAGAGTCCTGAACACTCTAACATCAGTATGCTTATTCTCCATACTGTTCTCTATATATCTCCTGTGGTACTGACAAGGAGAATTTACACAAAAATCAAGAGCCTCTTCAGTCAGGGATCTTTCCCGTAATTCTCATCATCTTAACCCTTTACAGCCTAACACAGGGTGTGAAATTGCGCCTAATACAGGCGCCAATGCGCCTAAATTTTTCACTTTGGCGACCAAATCCTGAAAGTTAGTCGCTAAATTGGCGACTAGAACGTTTCATCATAACCTTACCAAGATATAGTGAATTATAAAGATTTGCAAACTTAAGATAAATCCGCGGCAAACTTCCTCGTTAAGTTTGTTTCCAAAACGTAGCACATGCATCTCGATCGATCTCGATAACTAGATGCTATCTTGGACTTAGATGAGCCTGAACATTGTATATCATCCATCCTAGTGTCCACTTTGTAGCACGTTAAAGATCTTTTCCCTAACTTAATTTTGGAGGGTCTATCTAGAATGCTGACAGCGTAAAGAAAGATTTTGTTTGTCTTTGAAAATGGCAACCAACTTTTTTTGAATTGGCTACCACTTTGAAGAATTTAGGAGCCAAGTGGCTATCAGAAAAAAAAGTTAATTTCATGCCCTGTAACATCAGTATGCATATTCTCCATACTGTTCTTTATACATTTCCTGAGATGTTGACAAGGAGAATTTGTTTAACAATCAAGAGCTGTTTGAGTTTCCAATCCCTTATTCTCATGAACTTAATGTTTGATTTAGGGGTGATTCTTTTAGGAGAAATTAGATGCTTATCACTCTTAGGAGTTAAAAGGTTAAAGTTTGATTCAGGGGTGATACTGTTGGGAGAATAAAATGCTTGTCACTCCAAGGGAATAAAAGGAATGGGCATACCTCAAAAGAACAAAAAAAATAAAGAAAGAAAAAAGGAACTTTTGTGGAATATCCCAAAAAGAATATTACATGATCATCAGTGTGAAAGCTGACGTCAAGATCCTGGAAGTGATAGGATCATTGTCTCAATTCTGTTTTTTTTTCAATGTTGATGTTGTACAATAACAAGTTTACAACAAAGAGTCCGAAAGGAAATCATGAAACTATGGCCCATTTCTCGAAAGATCCTGTAACTTTTAGGGGCTGAAAAGGTGATTTAAGTTTTCTGTGTTTCATTTAAGATTGAGATATTGACAGTTTTAAAATTTAACCAACTGCTTCCTGCACTAAAATCTACTAGATATCTACTTAGAATTAGATTTAGAAGCATTATTTCAGGTCTTTAAAGTTACTGGGATGTTTCAGATCCTTGCTGCAACACATTACTGCATTTACAAAATGAAAGCTTCGAGAAAATTAATTTGTAACAAAAGATTATGAGCTTGACCAAAATTAACCTGTAATTGCATAGTTTAGTATGCATCTCATTATGCACGTCTGAACTCATTCACGATTATAGCTCATGTGTAAAAAATACTCCACTAACAAATTACATGCACACTGAATTATCATACCAATGAATATCATTGGATCTAGATATGAGGGCAAGCGTCAACCATAATTTCAGGAAATTGTTCACGTGGTGAAGAATTTACGAGAGCTACTGCATGCTGAGATAAAAGTTTGATAGCAGGCTTCAATGAAACCAAAACCAGAAAGGAGAAACTACAATTTAAAATACGATATACCGGTATTCTAAATATATGTTACAATATAAAAGAAGACAGATAAATATTATTGTGGAAGATAACATAATTCAAAGTGCAAAGATAAAATATCTTCGTTTCTGACATCTACAAATACAAACTTAACGCAGTTGAATTAAATCCAGCCGGCGCTCATTCGAGCGTGTTGATAAACAACGGTACCGTTTGGGGATCAACACCAGCTCTGACAAGCTGTCACCTTTCGAAAGAGACATTTGTCTTTCCATCAAAACCCAAAATTATCATGAGATCGTTTTCATTTCAGTTGCGCAAACCTTTTGACAGAAAGTACAATCTTCTGAACCAACATCATTTGAGATTCCAAGCGAGCTAATTTAAAACTCAGCTGGTTTTCAACTCTACAAAGTAAAGTTTAGAAGATCGATAAAGTATGGCGAATTATACGAGGTTAATACTCGCCAAATAATTGGATCCATTCTTGTCCTTACGCTCGATCGTATCAGGAACGGAAAAATGCATTCTGTCGTGCAGTGCAGTCCAAGAGTCAAGCTAAAACAATCAGTGCTTAATTCATAGACACCTTCATCATGTGTATTCCATCAGAGTTACATCCTGTGTTTGCAAGTTGTGATCACGTGTTCTTCGGGTGCCTGGTACCGAACGAGCGGGACGAAAATTTACCCTTCTCTCCCCTCCTCAAGGGTTTTATTATAGGAACTAATTCGGCAAGGATCGCTTCAACTTTTTAACAACCTAACCAATTTCTTTAGCCTCGCGAAACAAACCGAGACAAGCAGAAGTCAATGAAGGGAGCTGCTGTGTCCAAAAATGTTTTGATTTTCGATCTGTGGGTTTTTCGATCTTCTTTAGAGACGTGGGTTTTTACTCGAGGCGGATGTCTCACTTTAAGTGTCAGGGTCCAAGGTGCCAATACATTCGTAAAGCGGAGCTTCTTCTCGCGATGCACAAGAGTGGAGCCCCATACCCAGAGAAAACATGTCATATGATAGCTGATTATTATTATCTCGGCCGTGAAACTGTATTTCGCATTTGTTGAAAATACTAAAAAAAACAGGATAAGTTGACGAAAAGTTTCTTCAAGGCTCTCGATTAGTAAGGAAAGCTCGTTCCCTTTTTTCACTCAGTTTCCCATAAGGTAAACTGATGCCTGGAGCAGGAAACGTCGACCCGAAATCCGTTCTTAGGGCCTTTCCGCACGAGTGGACAAAGCTAGAACTGTCCCAACAAAATCAAAGGACAAATTTTGTCATGAAAAATATTTGTTTCGTTTATTGCATCCGCACTAAAAATTTCAAAGCCGTAAAATTCCATCAGCGACTGATCTGTTCATAAGACCGACCCGCATAGTTTGCCAAAGGATTCCACCTCCAGTTTCCAGGATTTGTCCTCAGTCGTTTCAAAATTTTAGAATCTCCGAGTTTTGCAACAGACAATTTTTGCCTATCTGGCAAACTGATTTCAGTTCAATTACACTTGTCGTAGCTTTTACGACAAACGATTGACAAGTTTATCACAGTTTTGTATATCTAGTCAATTTTGTCCAGTTTTTACCCGGGACAAATTTTGTCGGCGATGCGATTGAAGATTTGTCCGCTTCGGCCAAAATTTGTCAAGTAGCGACAAACCATCCGCACTTGTAAAATGTTGGTGACGACAGAAAATTTGTCTAAATAGACAAAATTTTCGCGAGTGCGGAAAGGCCCTTAAACAACTTAATTCGTTGAAATAATCATCATAGGAAGAAACGGGGATTATTTGGAATCATTAATAGGGTAAAGGCCAAAGAACCTAAGCAGAGCCCCTGCTCAAACGAGGGACCACTCCTGTACAAATTTCCTTTCCTCGCATCGCCTTAAAATAGGAATTGGAACTGAACTACCCGATCTTAACGGCTAGGACAAACTCCGATCGTATGGCGTCGATCGCGATCCATTCTAAGAAAATCCGAGCAACTAAAAAACAAATCACTATCGTTTACTTGTTATACCTGATAATTTTATTGAAAGTTATATGTCATCTACACTAATTACACTTGGAGTGAAGAACCTCTATTGATTTATACCGATCAGGGTAGCCCCTTCAGATGCAAAAAGCTGTCTGTTATCAATGGGAGCGCTGACAAATTGATATGCGGTGTCTAAATTATTTTTACCTTTACGTATCACAAGAATAGCAATTTAATTTTAATTCCTCAACTCCTTTTCATTTCGAACCTAAGCAAATTCTGGATTTGATAAATTAACTGACCCCTAGTTGTATTACAAAAACTTAAATGCCTAAAACGCCTTACATACCTATCTCCCCCTATGCTTTTTGTAATTATATAACGTACCTGTCATTTGGATTACCTTAGAACCTTACAAGAGGTTCTACTTTAAAATATAAAAATCGATCTTTTGTTTGACATGTTTTTTTTGGAAAACGTCAAAATCAGCCAAGAATGGGTCAGTTCAAAAGTGTTGAATCATTTGGAGTATGTCAGTCCTGGAGTGTCAAGGTTTACTCAACATAATGCTAGCTTCGACAACAGAAATAATTCCCTTATAATATAAATAACCAGGGACATTATATTTATGAAAAAAGGAGGTAAGTTTCTAAAGACACTGTGGTGCTGCGTCGGTGGGGGATTATAACAGAGTAATTTAGTATTATCAACCGAGTTTATAACGTAAATTGGCCACTGTAAAGAGTTTCAAAGCTGACATTTCAAGCGTTAGCCCTTTCTCAGAGCGAAGGATAGGACAGGACTTTGCTCTGACGAAGGGTTAACGAAACTCTTTACGGTGGCCAATTTACGTTAACCCATTATATTTAGTTCAACTTAATGGAATCCTTGAGATTGTTGGTAAGATAGAAAAACACAGTAAAAACAAAAAATAGACCCTGGTGAGGAAACAAGGATGCCCCAAGATGAAGAAAATTAAAGCATATGGGTCAAAAAAGACTTCGAAGATTGATGGTAGATTTTTCTCGGTGAAAAAACTGTTTGTTTGTTTCTTCAAGTCTTTGAATCATCCTCGATCCCAGACTCTCTCTTCTTTGCACTTCTAAGGGAAGATTGAGGAGGAGAGACGGGTCTGGGAACTAGCCGGTCGTAGTCGGAATACATTTAAAACGTCATGTGTAGTCTATAATCTTTTGTCTTTAAAACCTATAAAATTTTCCGCGAATCCTTGCTTGATATTCAAGGCGCATCATGGAAAAATGTCTTATCCACAATTAGACCATTGATCATTCCTTTCTTGACTTTTCTCTCCAGTTTCGCGACGTCACCGAGAAGTTTGAAAGAGACCATTACCTTGGAGAATCTAGGTGAGTGTGATATCGGCTCACGAACCTCTCTGTTGAGGAGAAAAATAATAGTGTTTGTTGTGGTCTAGTAGCCTCGACCCTAAGTAGAGGTTAAGATTATCGAAGACGAGGCCGTCTCCAGTTGTGTAATCGTGATTTATTTTAATAAAATTTCAAGGTAAAAAAAAAATGTGTATACACCGCTGCCATATAACACCACTCCCCTAAAAACATTCCCAGCATGCCCGATTAGCACTGGTAACGCAACACGTGACAGAACAGTAATGGGAAAACTTCATTGCCATAGCCTCAAGCATAAAAGTGCTTCACGAATGGTTGTCCTAAAAAACCAAACGTCAAGGAATTGGGGGGGGGGGGCTGCCAAATTAAAAGAAAACGTCACAAGGAGCTAACAAGAACTTAAAGTCAAAATAAGCAAACTGTGCCTGAAGTGCGGAAAAGCACGAGTGACCAAGTGGGGATTGGTTCGAGTTTGCATCTGATTGGTTACGATAGATGCCAATTATGGAGCATGATATATCAGATATACCACATATATCATAATTGACCATAAGAAATTGAGAACGTTTTTTAATATAACCCTATGACAAAATGAAAAAAATATCTATGATTATTTTAAATTTCTCCTTTCATAGAAAAAAAGACACTTACGAGAAGGCGATTTCGGAGACCACTGCGCCACTACCTAAAGCGTTTTCAACCTGTATGTGAAAAATGTAAATATCAAAGTTTACGATCCATCAAATATTTTTTGCTCGCGCGCGATTGGTCTAAACGCAGCACGTGACCGAATATCCCCCAGCTAAAACTGCATGTTATCTGAGATATCACCCGAGCGATATTCCTCAATTTGTAAACTTAACGTCCACTACGATAGTTCTTCGTACGTATTTTTGCGCCAAATAAGGCCATTGTGATACAAAAGAAGAAAAGTTGAAGAAGGTAGAACACGTAAGTGTCTCAAAGTTCGTTTGCTCAAGAATTGTTTAGTGTCTGTCTTCATATCGAATTTGGGGGTTTTTGAAACTCGGAACTCGGCCTATTGTGACAACTTCGACCCAGGAGCGGTAGGCTGCGTCCCCATTTTGAACACCTGCAGACTTATGTGAACGAGGTTTTGAAATCAGGATGTCCTTATTAGCTTGATTCTTCTCTAGTTATCAGCATCAAAACAAATTATTTCTCACCTCTTGTTTCACGTTGTTGGCAAGAATGTTGTAAGCCGCTGAATTCTCATTTGCATAACCACTATGGAAATCTTGATTCAAAACAAACGACACTTTCCTCCCTTGTCCTGCAAAGACAAATGATTGACGAAATCAAAGCGTTACGACATAAAGAAAACTTCTAACGAGTAAGCGTTGAAAAAAAGCTATGACTGGGAAAAAAAAAGTATGAAAGATTGTCAAATTCTTGTGAAAACTTACTTCATGACTGGTATGACGCGGCGTTTCGTGTCGGCCAAAAGACTCCTCAGATCCTTTGCGGAATTAATAATGTATCTAAACGATATTTTGGCCCAAACGAAGTATTTTACGGCAAGTAATCGATAATCCGTCTTTGTATGAATTGTAACTCGTGAACATGCAGTTGAGAGTTCTTCTGTAACAGGGGGCCAAACTGCCTACATCTTGAATTCGCGAACGAGACTTTGAGCACGATGCTCAACGAGTTTGCTTATGGATTCCAAAAAATATCTAGAGAGTCTTTTATTGAGACGTAATATAGATATAAAAGTATTGATCAAACTTAATATTAGGGACCCATAATTCTGCACGTGCGATTAAATTGTCTCTACATTTCCTTGTTATCCACTTTAAAACAACTCCTTGCGATCATCAAATTTTGTACAGTCTCACGACGAGGTGGTAGATGGCTATGTTATATCGTTGTGACTATTATAGGTCTCCACTAAAACTTCTAATCTCTTTTAAGAGTAACTAGGTAAAGGTTTTACCTAAATCCGATAGCATTTGTGAATTGTCGTCTGCGGCTTTCACACGTGGTACTTCATTCCGACTGGACGCTCCTACGGTGTGATGAGTTATTTTGATGGCCTGGAGTTTCCCAAGTTTCATCATCTTCTCCATGAGACTGATTCTCTGGTGGTGTTGAGGCGCTACAAACAGCTGCATACCTTCCACCTTTTCAGCTGCACCAGATCCCGAAGCGGAAGCCTCACTGTCATGGAAACTTTTAATTTCAGGAGGACTGGGCATTAAGGAACCGGACCCGGACCCGGACCCAGAACCGGAACTGGTGTCACTTGTGATTACCAGAGGTATACCACTATCAAAAATGGCGTCCTCGATCTCGTGTAAATCTGTCTCTGGCTGTGCGTCTTCCTTGCCAAACCCCGAAGCATTTTCAGGGAAGGCGATCTTAAGACGGGCAATGCCTTCGGAATCGGAACCTTTGGAACCGGAACCTTCGGAACCGGAACCTTCGGAACCGGAACCATCGGAACCAGACCCAGATGCTTCGTCATCGTAAGGACCGGCATTTACATCAAAATGAGGCTGCACCCAAGCCTTCTCGTTGGGTGCAAAATCACCGGAGGCGCTGCCAGAAGCGCCAGCTCTTTCTTCCGCTCGAGAGATCACTGAACGCGAATTGATTCCCCCACCATCTCCTCCCTGCTCACCTTCAGACTCGTAACACCCATAACCGGAAGAGCAACCGGAGTCGGATTCTGAATCAGTAGAGGAAGTATCAAAGGGCGCATCATCTTCTCCGGAAGTGAGATCCTCACCGGATCCACTAGCAGTGAGAGCGTCACTCCTTTGAGCCAACTGCTCCCCAGACGTTGGCTCGCTAATCGTGACGCTGCTACCATCATTAGAAGCTCTTTTAGACAAGTCAGGGATAGATGTTTCAGATCTCCGGATCAAATGGAGCTCTCTGTCGCTTCCTCTGTCGTTTGCGCCAGGTTCAATTCTAACAACAGGCCAAAAATTAGCACCAGCAGAATCAATACCGGAACCGGAAATAGACTTCTCCTGATCATCTGGCTCGTCTTGCTGTGCGGTTTCTCCAGAAGATTGATTATCTGTTTCTTTGTTGTTTGATTCTCGAAAACGAGGCTCTCTGTAACTCTCTCCAGACCCTGACAGGCTTTGAGAGGAAGAGCTATCATCAATGTCCTCTGATTTTTTACCAGATTTTGCTACCCTGCTACCTAATCCCTCAAAGTCTGCAACAACTTCCGGTATCGCTTTTTGCCCACCACTACCGGAAGCGCTCATTCCTGATGCACCCAAATCAGCTAGAATATCTAAAAAACGAAAAACAGCAGCTAAGAAAAAAAAATGAAGCTGTTGATTGCTCTATTGTTTTCTCGTAGATCTTGTTTTTGTTGTCCTATGCCATCAACTAAAAAATTATTAGTTAGTGTAGATGTAAACTGCTGATTTTCGAGTGCATTTGTAATGATGAATTTAGACAGATGTAAGGCAAAGATTGAATTTGGGGTGTTTCCCATTTGCCAGTCCTGGAGGGACTGGGACCGAGAAGCCCCATTTGGAGCAGTTTTGCCAACAATAAATAAACTAAAATGTGCACGTTGCACCTGCTTCGGGAATTAAACACGGGTACTAGCAGTGGATGGGGTGAGCTCCTTCTATAGCTCCATCTTTTTCAGGGCGGGAAAGACGAGGGAAAAGCTGTGAGGAATTTTCAATTCAGCGAGTGGAAAGTAATCTAGGATTTCAGTGGTTTTGTTTGTCTAGACATTTCGCACGAACTTCGTCACCATCGATCAGGTGAAAAATTCTGTAGTTTGTGACTTGGTCACTCGTGTTCTCCAGCGCTGAATCTTTTAACTCCGATTTTTCATTGGTTTTTTTTTTCTAATATTCCCTATGTTCTGACTGATTGTTGAGATCACTTTTATTTTGGTTTGACGAAATTCAGTTGAAAAGTGCTCTATTGAAACTTGCGATGTTTGCATTTGCAATCAATTTACCTTCGTGTCTAATGTAATCACAACGGCCAATCAGAGTACAGAAGATGATCACAACGAGCCGATAGGAACTCAAAGTAGAAACACGTAACCGACCTCAAGCGCGGGAAAACCTCGTGACCAAATCGTTCTTGATATTACTTCTGATTGGTCCATGAGCGAGTTTTCTTGACCAATCAGAGAGCAGAGTGAAGCTAAACCAAAGCAATCCTGTATTTCTTTTGAAACTCAACTGAAAATAGCTCTAAAAGAAATAACATGTTTGCTTTTTCAGTTGCTACAATTAGTCATTAAAATAGATTAAAGCAGTTACCGTCACATCGACCGCAAGAGTACGGACACACTAGAGTCATGTAATCCTTGTAGTCTGTCATTTCACAATATTGATGTTTCGCCCATTTTCCACAAAGCTCGTAATGATCGCGGCAGTCTAGTTAGAATTAATGTTGGAACAGCATTAGAACAGTGTTGGACCAGCGTTAGAGCAATATTGGGACAGCATTATAGCTTGAAGTTAGATAAATATGATATCAAAGGTCAGATGTTACGTACTCATGGCTAGCAGGGGTGGGGGGGTGGGGGTGGTGCATGACTAGGAGAAATTCGAACTTAGGTCTCCTCCACTTACCGTTAAAAGGCATCGCATCGATGAAATAAAAACTCGCCACAACTGCACATACAACGAGGACCCTCATGCTCTACAAGATAAAAAATCTATGAAGTTTTCTGGGCAACAATAGTACTTCTGAACCTTTATTTAGAAACGGGAAAGACAAAAGCTTTTAGTCTTATAATATCGCACCTTAATACACGTATCAGATTGGGTTTCGATCAACAAATTGATATAACAGATCCAAATACCATTATTATTTGTGTGAAAGCAGTGAAAACAAATTAGTTTGGTCGATAATTGGTTGTTAACTTCTCCAGTGTCAACTGGAGAATAAGTCATGTGCAGGTTATTTATTGTATTCCATGCTATTGTTATGCCTTTAAAAAGAAAATCAACTCGGAGATCATAAAGTCATACGAATTTCTACTTCCAATTATCTGGGTACCCCTCAGCGCGGGCGTCAAGGTTTGCAAAAAAACGCCATATCGTCTTAAAAATGTTTTTAAAGACACGTTTTTGCGTTATGAACCTTAACGTGAAAACATGATGTAAGTTTACTCAGAGCCACACCAGAAACTAATAAATAAAGTAGTTGCTTTGAGCGCGAATCGAATAATTATATTCCTAGAGGAAAATCGAACTGCAAATGGCGGGGATCATTTTCAAGACTTGAACAAAAAGTCAATTTTCGTGAGATATCCAGCTAAAACATTTAGTAAACGGGACTGAGTTTGAATGCCGCTTATTCAAAGTTGCGTACTAACGTTCCGTTACTGGCATAATTTAGAATGTTATGGTAGAATTCGGATTACTCCAAACTAAAAACCATGAGAAATAGCTCAGAAACTTAGCTCCTAAACCTACCTTCTATTTGAGTATGTAGTCGCTTGATCCTTAGGGAAATGAAAGATGTTCTTTTGAATGTCGCACCGGACTTCGGTGGTCTTATTTCGACAAAGACAAGAACCTGCTCTACCAGTCAGAGTCCTTTTGTCTTTGTTGGTTTATTTTCGTCAATAGCGCCTTGAAATGATGAAAGATTAATGTCCCCTGAGCAGGGACCAAAAAATCACCTCAGGAAGAAATGATAAGAGTTACTCGAAAGCTTAATGCTGTCAGCAAAAAGGCAAATTCAGTGAATGGCTATAGAGAAGAGCCACGTAGTGTAGCTAACATTTAACTTTTTCCTTATCCCAAACCATATAAGCTTATATGAGAGACTTCTGTTTCTAGATCATTCACCCTCTCGTTGCTGAGTCGGTCGTAGGAGTGAAGAGAAATGAGTGTAAAAGTTAATGCCGCCGCGTGAAGTTTTAGTTCCCAGTTCTCACACGGCCCTGACTAAATTTTTCTAATGTCCCTTTGTTTTATTTTTCCTTGACTTGTGCGGTGCACTTAGCAAAAAAAAAAAAAAAAAAAAAAAAAAGAGGGTTGCTGTTCGTATTCTATAATTTCGTGTAAACGAACGCTTATACGCAGAACACAGATACCACCCAACTGCTTGCTTTGTAGTCATTGTGTACTCATAAATGAACAAGATTTCGCAAGACGGGACACTACTTTTTGACTGATGGCATAACATACTTTCAAAGAAAATTCTTTAACTTTTGCGCAGGTTGCGGATTATTTGATCTATAGAATTGCAGGACTTCAGGTGTTTGCGCAAGCGACAGGAGCAGAAAAGACTCAGAAAGCTCTTTGACAACAAATTAAAAGTCTTTTTCTATCCCCGCAATGCATCCTGGTTGAGCGTGGTCCTTCAAAAGCCACTTTATTGTCAAAACTAAAACAGTCATGAATAATTAATGAACCTTTTGTATTTCATCAGGTGTGCCTTTGAGTCTTAATGGATTCGATGGGTCATTCACCACCACATCATTTTAAATTCAACTGGAAATACAATAAATTTACCTGGCAACGTACAGTGTGCGTTGCCAGGCATGAGGCAGCAAACCTTTTTGGAACCTCTTGGACGTTCTCCCTTCAACGTTCTCTCCATTGGCTAAAAAAATATCTTTGCGTTCTTCTAAGGCAAATCTTCAGAGAGAAATATTCTGATCTGCATGAGAAGCGTTTTTTTTTTCCTTCTTTACTTTTTTTTACAGGAAGAGCTTACGCCGAGAATTTTGTGGGTCTGAAAGAACTATGATGGCCGAGAAATTTGCGAATTACTGAAAATTAAAGTCGAGGCGCTGTGAGAGGTGTTGGAAGATTCCTAGATTCCAGGCTTCCAAAGCAGCTCACGGTCATGAGAAGATACTGACTCACGCACAAGAGTGTTAGGTTGGGAGCAGAAAGTTGATTCTCTTAATTTAACTTCCGGGCAGTTGAACTTCTGGGCAGTTAAACTTCCGGGCAGTTGAATTGAAAAAATCAACGAAGTTTTCTTTAGTAATTTGACTCATTTTATTCAACTCTTTTTCTTTTACGAGTTTTCAACCAATTTCCAACGAATCGAAGTTACCCTTTTCAAAAAAGACCTTCTACACAAGACCTTTTACATCTTATATTAAGGACTCGTGATTTCTATCGCGTGATAGTTGATGAGCTGGCCTGAGTCAGGTATCACGCGATAGAAATCTAAAGTGCATAATCTAATTTTAGAATAAATCTAGCCAACCAAATCTTATTAAGAAGACAGTTATATTTATCAAATCCTATTTTGTTTACAACCACATCCTCCTAGCCAATACACTTTACTTACTATGTATCACGAAATCACGGATAGCGAGTCGCTGAGCCAATCAGGTGCAGCCGACCTGTGATTGACCAATTTTTGCTAGTCCACCTAACAGGCGCCATTCTTTCTCTTTTTTTTTCTTTTTCCTTTTTTTTGTTTTGTTTTTTTTTGCCAAGGAAATGTAACTGCGAAGACAGCGCTAAATTTATCGTAGATTATCGCCTGAGAGCGCGAGCGAAACAACCAAGGGGGGTAAGGTTAGGGCAGTTGTTACACACTCGCTTCTTCAGAAAAGTAAAGCGGCTAATTTAAAGTCTTATGTCAAATCAAACTTTGAGTGGATTACCAAGCCAATCTTTATAAACTATTTCAAAAGAGCTTAGCTTCTGTTTCTTTATCTGTTTAGCATATTCCGGAGTGAATACCAAACCTTCCGCGCATCTTTCCCATCTAAGAAAGGCTTAATTATGTATCAGCAGCCAAATATTAACAGCTAATGAAGGCGATAAAGATACGGACTTGATATCATTGACGCCAGTGAAGTGGTTTATCTCGGAAGTCCTTCACTTTGTCCGCGCAACCAAACCAAACGCTTGCCTTTGTTAAATTAAATAAAGCGCAAATTGGCAATATCCGGAGAGGTATTATTTCAATAATTCTGCACTGCAAAGTAATAGACATGTGTTGAAAAATTAGAAATATTTTGGATTCTTTACACTTGTCCTCTTTGACCTTGATATTGTCATGATGACATAGCTTAGTCATTAGAGGAAAAAGAATGTCGCATCCGATATTGCCCCTTTCAAATGTCGGAGCAATAACTTTGGGTTTCGTTCTTGCAGCTACAACCTCTGTGACACTGATTTAACATTTGGCAAGCTTTCTAAACTTCGAACCACTCGAAAATCAAATACTGATGCTTCTTGCTCTTAAACGTTGGTTAAATTCGAATACAAACAATGCTGAAAGTTCTCCTTTCGAAAACTTCTCACAGAAACACAAATGCCTTTCAAGTTCCGGCGCTGTCTGAAAATGAGAACAAAATTATAAAAGAAGGCAGTTTTTTTGTGACAGGCTGTCATCTGAATGGTACACACAGCGACAGCGATGTACTGAATGCAAACATTTAGTGACTCCTTCGAAAGATTGCCTCGTTTACTGTAGAGACCATAATTTCAAGGCCGGGGGGGTACTTCCTCAGGAAACTCATGCAGATTCAGCCTTGTTCGCCTGGATTTTACAGGATCCTACGAAGGAGTACCTTTGTCCTCAGAAGGGTCATTTATTAGTGGATTCTTCCCTAAACGCCTCACACAGAGTCAGTGTTGTTTCAAGTAACTATTAACAGCATTCATTTTGCGACACATCGGGCTAGTGG